CCGGACATGAACACCGAAAAAATCCGAAAAAATTTCCATGTAAGAAAGGCGTTATGATGCGGTGGCCTAGGTTTCTCNCTGCGCGGGAATTCAAATCCTATTTTTTTCAACGCCGTTTTTCGGGGATTTAGGATTTTTTTTGAATTTTTTCGCAATAATATTAGAAAAATACATATCTTTGGAAACATTTTAGGGCAATAAAAATTTTTGGTCGGAGTCCCCCTTTAAATGCGCAACATCAAATTCAGCGATACGTAAATAGGCTCCACAAACCCCTTGAAAAATATTATCTCAGCGGTTACACGGAGATGACCTAAATATTGCTTCAATAATAATATATTAACAAAACAGTTCGGGCATCAACTAAGACACATTTCTGATTTATCTGTCCAAACCCAAACTCAATTGGTTAACTCCGAGTGGGTGAAAGAAAAACATTCTGCGGGTGTTGTAAGCGAGAGCCAGAAGTTTTAGCCTCGAAGGCGCGTAAGCAGACTGTCACTCCAGTTTATGAAAGTTGACAAAACAATCATCTCCAAGTTCGTCTTCTGATTCTCTCCGATTTTGAGATTCAAACGTTTAAGTGAAGCCAGGAGATTGTAGCCGCCGAGCCGAAATCGACTAAATGAAGTTACGTCTCTTTGTTTCTCTCACTCTCTCTCAGTCTGTCCGAAAATTTTGAAAAGCTGGAAATTATAATATAGATTCAGGTGACCTTTAAAAAGAGTGAGTCGCGAAGCGACGAACAGTAAAATAAAAAGGTTATTTCCAGCTGTTTGAAGCGCCGGAGGCGCGGCAAACAGGCTGGTTTTTGTAAAATTTTGAAACGTTTAAAACAAACCTAGATTGAAAACTTTGCATTCACAGCATTTTTGAAAATTCCTGGTTTATCATATATTTGCCGATTTCTGAAAAATATTATGTTTTTTTCACGTTTTCAGCACAAAAAAACAAAATTTTCAATCTAGGTCTTTTTTTCACTCTGAAAATGTTCCAAGTAATCGGAAACTTGAGAGCCAATATCCAGAATCCTAAAAATAGTCAAAATAACCGAAACTAAAAATGTATTTTTTTTATCTTAATGACTGGTACTGTAGGTCTGGATATTCTGGATGAAACTCTTTATTTTTGCTCATCCAGTCATCAGTTTTCCATTCAAGAAATAGATAGTAACTCCATAAATGTGTCAGTTTCGACTTAAGAGGAAATTAAATTAACAAAAGAGATTAAAGTTCCAGATCAATGAAGTACCGTAAAATCTTCAAAACAGTTGCACCTTCATGATTTTTTTATTTTCGTTCCTTACTTCTTATTCCTTGTTTCGGCTTTTCGAAAATTTTATTCCGCTTATCTTTGACCCTGACCCTGACAGCCAACTTTGAGCTAATTTTTCTTGGCTCCTGAGAACGATATTGAAAGAAGTTATGAAACTTTTTAAAAGTTAAAACTCGTTAAATATACATGTTTGATATTATGGTATTACTTACGGTATGTTTAGAGTAAGTTCTGAGTATTGAGTAACTGTTTTCTTACAATGTTTCACACACACAACACTACAGTATATATATATATTATATATTATATATATATTAATCCTAATTCTTAATAATTCCTCATTGACCACCATTTCCAATGATCCTCACCAACATCATGATATGCCCCTTCTCAACTAATAATGTATGTGATATTTTGGATATTTCCATTTTCCTCGTCGTTTCCCTTCCCCTTCCTCCGTCTCTTTTTCTCTATAAATGCCGAGTGTCAACCTAACGAAAAAAGAGTGAGCGGGAGAGAGGGGCGCTGATGCTGCTGTGTCCGTTGTTGGTTTGCTTTCGGTCGATGGACACGTCGAGGTGACTAGAGCCAGTAAAAAGTATTGTGTTAACTGAAGAGACGCCCTACAGAAACTGTGGTGAGAGGGAGATCGGAAAGAACACGCGCGAGCGGTGTGGAAAAGAAAAAAAAACCTCCTTCTTTTCCCGCTCTCACTCAGGAACACCACACACACACAAACAAACCAAGTCGATGTCGTCGTCGTCGTCTTCTCCTTATTTCCAATTCTCTGCTCCCAATTCTCTTGCCGTGAGCTCTTGGCTTCACTGATTTCTTCTTCTTTTCTTCATTTGAATATGCCAAATTTGGCTTCCATCTCATTAGCTTAATTTCCCCATGTTCATAATTTTGAATCTTTTTTAATTGATCTAATTGATGTTGTTTTTAATTTGATAATTAAGATTTGTAATTACCAATTTTGGAGAGCAGAATGTTCAAAAAATGCACTTCTTCAATAGGGCCCAATATTCATAATAGTTGTTTAGTCACCGAATTCTAATGAAGTAATTTCAGAAACAAAAAAAAACAATGTTGTTCTTAAAACTCAATGATCAAAAATCTAGACATTTTTTTAAAATATAAATTTTCCAACGAATTCCTACGAAAATAGGGATTGGTCTATCTTGTGGTGAACAGTGAGCAATTAGGTCTAGCATTTTGAAGTTTGTCTGGAATTTTGAGATTTTTGAAATTTAAAAGAGTTAGTTTACATTTTCAAATTTTCACTCAAAACTGATAACCAACACTGATAAAGTCTCCTATCTATTTCTTCATTCTCTTCCCAAAAATTCTTATTGTTTCAATCTCCCATTTTTTCAGTCATGTCTGCCGAACTGTACACAGTTGAAGCGATTTTGGAGCATCGTAAAAGAAAGGTTCGTGGGAGATTTGATGATTCATGATTTCGTATACATTTCTTTTGTACTGAATGGTTTTCTCTGAATCTCTTTTCCGAAAACGCCAATGATTTGTTTTGGAGAGACGCAGACGGTTTTATGAAGAGAGATACAGAGAAAAAGAAAACAACGAAATCTGGACAAAGGAATAGACTTTAGAAATATTGAATGTTTTCAGGGAAAGAACGAATTCTACATCAAATGGTCTGGATACGATCATTCGTAAGTACCAAAAAATATTCGAATTGATATCAAGCTCATTAAGAAGGATAGTCTGATGCATTTATCCAGATTCCATTGCCTGATTTCTAATTAGTCTACCGTAAATCCTGTAATAAAAAGGCCCCAACACTGTCAAGTTTGGGTTAAATTATCTCAAGTCCCATGTAAGACATCAAAGATGTGTCAACTGACAAAAAAACTTCTGATATTATGGTTAACATTTTATCAGTTGACAATTTTTTTATTTCTTTCACAGGAACCGAGATAAATTGGCTCAGAGTTCATAGTTAGGGGACCCTTCTATCACAGATTTTCGATATTTAAATTCCGTAAAATATTCTAAACCTGTATTAGAAGGGTCGGTCCTTCTATTATTCCAGTGTATTTCCGGGGGGGGGGGGGGCCTATTATTACAGGGACCCTTTAATCAGAATGGGGGTTCTTCTATTTTTCCGGCCATTTTTTCAAAATTTTTAATCGAAAAATTTGAGGAATTCTTGTTCAAATTTCATGAAAATCTATCAATTTCAACAAAAATTGAGCAAGTCTTTGAACAAAAAAGTTTTTCAACAAGTTCTTGTGAAATTATGAAATTCCCGGAATATTTTTCAATGAAAACGCAAGTAATTTTTCAATTTCAAACAGCACATTTAGAAGAGACTATTTCAGGAAGCCCTTCTATTAGGGGAGGCCCTTCTATCAAAGATGCCCTTCTAACACAGGTTTTACAATTTTTTTCATTTACAGCCACAACAGTTGGGAGCCAGAGAAGAACATCGTCGATCCAACTCTCATTGAGTTGTTCTTCGAAAAAGAGGAAACAAGAAAGAAGCAACTCAAAGAAAAGAAGGATAAGTTGGCTGCTGCAAAAAAGGCTGCCGCTCAAAAAGCTGCTCCTCCATCAAAAAGAGCAACAACATCATCATCATCAAACCGACCATCGTCTTCTTCTACTTCCCGAAGTTCCAGAAGACAGAAAAGTCCACCACCAAAACGACAACGATTGGCTGGTGGAGAAATTCGTCCGGATAGTGATACGGATGAAGAAGAGCCGATTCAGCAGAGAGATGAGGAGGAAGAGCAGGATGATGATGAGGAGGAAGAGGTTCCAGTGATGAAGAAGAAGAAAAGTGTGAAAGAAGAGGAGGAGGAGGAGGAAGAAGAAGAACAAGATCAGGAGGAAGAGGTGCAGCTACCAGCTGTGGAAGCTCAAGCTCCAGAAGCAAGACCTGAACCGGAGCATCACGAAGAAAAAGAAGAAGAGGATGAGGAAGAGGAAGAAGATCTCAAGATGAATGGAGAAGAGAAAAAAGAGCCAGTAACTACCTCAACAGTTACTCCATCAGCTACCGCTGATGTTCAAGAAGGCGAGGAGGAGAAAACTGAAGAGGAAGAACATTCTGAAAAGCCAACAATTGAGAAGCAAGAAGAGGAGGACGGATCCACTTCTGAACAGGAACCAGTATGAAAATATTTTTAAAGTTTAATTTATTCTTTTTTTCTAGATTTTCAAGGAAGCTTCTGAATCAGCTCCATCCACTTCTGAACCATCTACTTCTAGTGGTCCATCGACTTCGGCTGCTGTTCCAGCTCCTGCTCCGATTGCCCAAGCTGCTCCAGCTGCCGCTGATGACGATGACATCACCATCATTGAATGAACCAAATTCATAAATATCTGAAGCCTAACGATTCTCCATTCTTCTTACATCTAAATCAATCTATCTCGATCGTTCTGTCCAATTCCTTTCCATCACTCCTTTCGGCACCCATCTTTCAGACTTTCCAATGTCAAAATATCGTTTCTAAACCTGTCTCTTCATTTATTTTTTTATTCAATACTACTGATTTAGCCACCAAAGTATCTTTACTCCGAATTCATATATGTCACTCCCTATCAGTCATCAGAAAATAATTCCAGCCCCCAGTTACTCAAATGTTCGCATTTTTTTCAAACTGAAAATAAAGATAAATTCGAAATATTTAGTTTGTGAAACATTCAGATGATGTCTGCTCATTTTCTAGCGAAGCTCGGCGGTGGACTCTCCTGCGTCTGTTATCTCTAACGCGTGCCTGTGGAGCGCAGAAGTAATTGCTTAATTTTTCAATTTTTTTTCCAGGGAATTATATTGAAAAACTAAAAATTTTATATTGTTTTTAGACTTTTCATGAATCGACAACGGTTACTCAAAATATGGTGTTTGAAAAAATTAGGAGAAACACACAGGTGCTACTCTTCAGCTGGAGATCCAACCAAATTGATCAATTTCTCTGAATTCACACCTGAAAAAATCCGAAACTTTGGAATTGTCGCTCATGTTGATCACGGAAAATCTACACTTGCAGATAGGTTGCTGGAGTTATGTGGAGCGGTACCTCCCGGGCAACAACAGGTTGAAAATTACTTTTGAATATCGGAATTTTCTTCAACTTTCAGATGTTGGATAAGCTTCAAGTAGAACGAGAACGAGGTATTACAGTAAAGGCTCAGACAGCAGCGTTAAAATATCAAGGATATCTTCTCAACTTAATTGACACACCCGGTCATGTGGATTTTTCTGCAGAGGTTTGAGGGCTTCTACTGATTAGTATAATAGGTTTTTGATTTCCAGGTGTCACGAAGTTTAGCAGTTTGTGATGGAATCCTTCTACTCGTTGCTGCGAATCAAGGTGTTCAAGCACAAACGATTGCAAACTTCTGGCTCGCGTTCGAGAAGAATATTCAAATTATTCCCGTCATCAACAAGATCGATCTTCCAGGTGCTGATATCAAGTCAGTGAGTTGTTTTTCGAAAATTGAAGGAGTGAAAATACAGCGTTTAGGTAGAAACACAATTGAAAAACCTATTCGAATTCAATTCTGAAGAATGTCTTCACATTTCTGCAAAAAGTGGCCTCAATGTAGAGAAGGTCCTAGATGCGATTGTTGAACGGGTTCCAGCTCCAACAGCGAATGTAGAAGCTCCTTTTCGGTACAAATCTACGATATTTTAAAAACTTAAATTCTGTTTTTTTCAGTGCAATGATCTTCGACTCTTATTTTGACCATTTCCGTGGCGCTATCGCACATATTGTGGTTAAAGAAGGATCAGTTAAAAAAGGAGACAAAATTCGATCATATCAAAATGACAAGAGTTACGATGTTTCAGAAGTTGGAGTTATGCGACCTGAAATGGTAAAATGCACAGAAGTTAGAGCTGGTCAAGTTGGATATTTAGTTTGCAATATGAGAACAGTAAAGGTAGAGTGGGCCAATATTTTATTACTTAAAAAAGTTCGATGATTTTTTAGGAGGCTGTTGTCGGTGAAACTTTATTCGCAGCTGAAACTCCCAAAGAATCGGTTCAATCATTCGCCGAAATCAAAGGAGTGAAAGCTACAGTCTACGCAGGATTATTCCCCGTGGAAACTGCAGATTACGAAAGTCTGAAGCAAGCCGTAGAACGACTATGCCTGAACGATCCTTCTGTCACGGTCACTCCTGATGCGAGCAAGGCACTTGGTTTAGGATGGAGAATCGGATTTCTTGGTGTCTTGCATATGGAGGTGTTTGGAGCACGGCTTTCACAAGAATACGATGCAAGTGTGATTTTGTGTCAACCGAGTGTAGAATATAGAGCAAAAATCAAGGATAACGAGAACATCCGGAAGAAAAGATACGATGGAATGGAAGAAGTGAGAATTCTCGATCCAAGTAAATTCCCAGAAGAGAGTGACGTTGATAGTTTCCTGGAACCAATGGTTAAGGTTCGAATGATTGTTCCGAATGAAATGATGGGTACTGTCAATGGTTTATGTTCTGAATGTCGTGGAGAGCGTGGAGAAATTTCGTCAATTGATACCAGCCGATTAATGATTCTGTGGAGATTGCCGCTAGCTGAAGTGGCTGTTGATTTTTTCGAAAGGCTCAAGAAGTTGACAAGTGGATACGCGTCTTTTGATTATGAGCCAGACGGTTGGCAAGAAACTCGATTAGTCAAATTGACCATTTTAATCAATGGTAAAGAGGTCAGTGAGTTTTCACAAATCCTACCAGCTGCTATGGCTCGCGACCGTGCGAAAACCTTAGTGCAGAGGCTGAAAAGAGAAATTCCACGCCAGCAATTTGAAGTCACCATCAAAGGTAATGTTTAAAATTTGAAAGAAATTTGAATTCTCCCTTTTCAGCCTGCATTGGTTCTTCGACAAAAGCTTTATCTCAAATCGTCATTCAGCCCATGAAAAGAGACTTTTCACAACTCTTGAAAGGTAATTTTGGCGGCGGTGGAATGGAACGTTTGAACAAAAAGTTGAGTCACCAGAAAAAAGGAAAAGAACGAATGAAGATGGTTGGAAATATTCAGATTCCGAAAGAGGCATTCCTAAATGTTTTGAAAAACTAGCATATTTCTGGCAGTTTTAGATTAGTTCAATTGTTTTTGTTTTTTGTTTTAATAAATTGTTTAATTTTTACTATAACGAACTAAATAAAGGTATAACAAAGAGAACAAAACGCATCAAACAATGAAGTTCTAGTCCCATCTTTTTCTCTCTGCCAATGCTGCTAGTGAGTCTTCAACTGTCGTGTGTCTATGTAGAAGATTTCCAACGTTAGCTCTCTTTCTAATTGTTGCTTTTGATCCTTCCGTATTCTTTGGTTTTCCTGGCATTCGTTGTGCTTCCAGATTCTCGAACTCTTTGGCCCGTAACTCCTCCAAAGATGCAACGTTCTTTTGAGTCTCCAAATATGTCTTTTCAGCTTCCTGTAAACTTCTTATAAGTTGTCTTTAGTACGTCTCCGAACTCACAGCTGAAGAATAGGGACGAGTGAGCAAATTCATAACGACTTGCTCCCTGGCGAGTCGTTCTCGTAGAATATTGACACGGTTTGCAGAAACAGGATAATCGGGACGACCTGTTCTGTAATTTACAAAGTTTTAAATGTTTGAGAGAACTGAAACTAACGCTTTCTGTTGCGGAAGAATTGGGCCTCTATATCCGACTTCCCAAATACGGCGATTCCAATGACGCGTATTCAAATTTCTGGACAGTGCTCGTGACAGATACATCTAGAAAAATATATAATTAGAAGACGGTTATATCCGGACAAATAAAAAAAAGATTTTGGATTTTTTAGAATCTGCAGAGACTCCGTAGACACAGTGTAGATTTACGCTAAACAACACGCGACCCGTTAGTTCGGAGTCTCGTTGTTTATGGAACGGGAGAGAAAAGGAGAGCGTTTGGCTAAAAAAACATGCTTTAAAAGTATTTGAAGAATTGGAACACACTGAGATTAGTCTTTTTTCTATTATGCAGTGAGAAAAAGAATCACTTAAATAGTTCATCTTCAAAAAAAAACTTTTATTGATGAGAAAATACTTTACAATACGGTTTTTAAAATTAAAAAAGACTTCAGAGTTTGGAATAAAATGAAAACCCCTTTTCTGGCCAGAAAACAATAGTTTACAAAAAGTGACTTGAGGTCAGAGATTATAGAAATTCGAATAAATACAGTTTTTACAAAAATAATCCAAAAAGGCTTCATTGGTTTCGCAAGTGCGATCCAGCCGATCCAAGTCTCTGAGCTCCTTTCAGCTCACAAATGAGAAGTTTTATAGAGGACGGCCAATGCCAGCTCCTTGATGTTTCTTCCGGAAGTGTCTGCACAAACCTACCGTATGCCTCCCAAGCTTGTTGATAGTTCTCGTATTCAATTGCTAAAAAAACAAACTGAATTGAGATGCGGTTCTTATATTTCACTTACAATCCACGACATGATTCAAACTTCTGATCGTTGACGCTGGTAGTAAATCTTCATTGACGAGAGATTGTAGTTGTTTCAAACGGATTTTAATGCCTTCTGCTTTCGTCTAAACTTTTTTTTAGATTGTGAGAACCTCCTAGGGACTTCACCAACCTGTTTATCTTTCATTGCATTCAGCTTATCTGCTGCTTTGAACAGAAATGGCATCAATTGCTTTCCAGTCAAATCCATATCTCCTCGAACTTTTTTTGGAAGGCTGAAAAAGATTTCTATTAACTCAACATCTGGCTTTGTCTTCTCACTTTTCCGGATCCACACTTTGAAACGAATTCGGAAGTTCCACATAGTTTGGCAATGTGAACTGAGACAACATATCATCTGAATTGGACAATGAAGGAACTTCCTTGTTAAAAGAACTCGATGTAGTTGGTCGAGAACTAAACGATCGTTCAGCCATGGTTGAACCTGGAAAAGGAGATTCTATAAATTGATATATTCTAAAAATTTATTAAATAAATTGATATATTCTAAAAATTCCCTAGCAATAACGTCCCTGAGAAAATCTTGCAAGAGAGCTTTCCAATAGAAGCATCAAGAAAATAAATCTCTTTTTTTTCTCAGAAGCTCGTATGGGCGGGGCATCTTTTATGTCACGAGTGCATTCAAGATTAGTGAAGGTAAGCTCTTCAGTTTCAGAATTTGAGGCCCCGCAAATTCCGGGGAAAGAAAAAATCGGGGAAAAAAGCCGGGGAA